CTCGGAACGTTAGTGGACCCTGGTAGACGCTGGTGGACGCTGCCGCAAAGTATGAACGCAGCCTAATTGATGAGTGGGCGGTACCAGGAAACGACACCAGAGGCGCGCTTCCTTTTCACACCTATTTCATTGGCATAGAAGACAGATGAAGGACAGGCACACCAATGACGTAGATTCCTGATTCTTTTCACGGGGCAATCCCAAACGGAGTCTTCAAGGAAGAAACGCTGCCTTCAGTAACTACCCTTGTAGTAGATCTAATGTTTTCGTATTCCTTGAATGCACGGTAAGTGGCTTATCCGTAATCTGTGTTAGCATCGTAGCCCAGCGCAAGTGAGGTCCCGCTTGTTGTGCAGACACCTCGTTGTCGGCATGATGGGCCCTTTGATGAGCTTAAAAGCTTGACGCACTCCTAGAGCCACTTGGCTTTCCAAACACATGCAGTGTCGACCTTGAACTCTACTCTTTTTCAGCTCTACTGCGGCGGTTCCGCATACGCCGGTCCCAACCGCTTCTGGCCGAGTTTTCTCGTCCGAGTCGACCTCCGCATTCGAATCGTCAGTGACTTCTGAAGAGAACAGACTGCGTACTACACCCACTGCTGCAGTGCATGTGGCGCCAACTCGTGCTCCACCCATTCCTCAGATGGCACTGCTGGAAGGTAGTGAGGACAACTCGGCTGATAGCGGTAATCATGCTTTTGTTAACACGAGTTTAACAGACACAACGCATGCTACTTGCCGCCATCCGCACATTTTTAATTTACTTAATCAATTTTCCATTTTTTTTTCGCATTGAAACACTTTTCTGGCCGCTCAGTGAAAATGGACGGGCTTCAAAATTGTGACGAGAAATGGATATAAACTCATTTTTAGTCACTCAATCCTTTTCTGGCAATGCGCAACGCAAGCTTTTTTTTCAATTCAGATTCGATAATGGTGATATTTGATGTGTCTATAACAATGACTTCACGTTGCAAAGGGTTTCGTCTTTTGTCTGAACATCGGGCGACTTTTTGGTCCACTATGTCTGTTTTCTGTCAATTCACCGTCAGAAGACGACAGAAGGCAAGGGGCTAACGAGGCTCTGTTCTCGGGACGGTGCCTAGCGAACGGAATTCGCCACCGCACCACCTCCTCTCCAAGCGGGGTATACATGTCAAGTGGTATATCGCTGTATTTGTGCGATTCATGGGATCTAATCATCAGCGGGGTCTTGAATTTGGTGAATCTCATAGGGACTTACCAACGCCGAGCACAGATATGTCTCCCACACTTATTACTCACGATAAGATTGATAGCGCTAATATTGCTCTATTTTGTGGGGCCATAAGCCGCATTTATTACAGGGCCGCACGCACAATTGTCAACTCAGACCTAAACTAAGTAATATGGAAGTTCCAAAATGTAGAACTGAAATCACTGAAGGAATACAAATAGAAAACTAGAAAATCATCTCGAGATCACATAACACACTCCTCTCTCGTGCTCAGTCACACCTCTCGGAAAGGAACAACTTACTAATAGTGCCATAAACAGAGCGAAGGTAGTGTGGTGGCAAGTGAAGCCGCTTCTCACCTGTGCAGTCTAATGATGAAGTCTAGAACGGCCTTCTGTAATGGCTTACCATGTCTTGTATCCCTCCAGGAAAAGTAAATAAATACCACACTTTGGGAGAATGAAAAGACTGACTTGTTTATTGAATGGCCTCCTAGTCATTGTATAGACCTTGTCCCATTCAATAGGTATTTACGACCACGGGTTGGGAGGACATCAAACGCGTGCGCTTCCCGAAGTGCTTGATTGAATCCGAAGGTTTCATCCTTTTCCTTTGTCTTACCAGAAACAAAATCCGCAGTGGTTCTTCCAGTGCGGATGATTCACAACCAGGAATCATTAACTCCTCTCGTGAAGAATAAGACCAGCTCACAAATCCCACGCAAGGAGAGCTGCTCTCTGGCTGTTCTGGGAATGGAAACATGGTCTGGTCATAAGAGACAGCTCCAGCATTATCTCAGTCATGACCCCGGTCCATGTCAGCTGGCCCTTCTTGTCGTCAAGGATTTTCTTCGAAAGAGGCTTTGAACGCGCATAGTAGGCAGCCCTTTTTAGCAGTTGCACACACAGTTACAACTAACGAGCACAAACCGACTCAAATGACCCGCTTCGTTGTTTCTGGTAACAGTCTTTTACTTACAGAGTATTCCTTGCTGATCTACGGATTGGGACACTTAGACCATTGCGCCTTTCTCATTTTGGTCCTTTTCCTTCTAGGAGTGCGTGGAATATAACTTCGAGAAAATTGCTTGACGTCTTCCTTAATTTTCAACGTAAAAGGTAACTATCCCGGAAACAACTCACATTCACAGAACGTCAGAACACCAAATGCATGTATTACCTTTTGTGGAGTTATGCAGCCTTCAAACCAAATCAAGTGACTGTTTTCGTTCAACGTCATCAGTGGATCAACCAAGGAAGAAAATGTCAGTGAAGCTGATTCTGGATGACAGATGATCGTCGCATTTCTACGTCTCCCCACTTTTGACAGTGAAAGAACGACAAGAAAGATGGCGACGATTAGTGCACGAATTCTCACAATCCAACGCAATTGAAAGTCTCTGGGTGATTTTGATGCATGAAGTGCACGGTATACTTCTACCGCTCCACTTGCACCCTTTCACTACCACTTACTAACGCAGTTTTCCTTTCCACTGCACCGAAGCCAACTAAAGCTGGAGCTAGTCAGAAGGCAAAAAAAAAAAAAAAAAAAAAAAAAAAAAACAAAAGAAAAAAAAATTTTATTGATCCCGAAAAATTAAAAAAAAAAAAACTGGCTTCCCCTATCAAGCGGATCAAATACTGTTGACGTCGCAGTCATTCATTTTTAGTGCAACCGCTGTGCCTTCATCCGAAAGATCCTGGAATAACCTGCCTGTGGACGTTCATTTCGTTTTTTTGTGGTTTGTTTTGTTTGGGACCGAACGACAGAAAGGTAGGACATTATGGCATGAAATGTCTACAATAGTTGCTCTTTCCCATTGAATTCACATTAAAATATTGATAATCAACTTTTGAGCTAAATTGGACCGCCTTTTAGATCTGTGATGTGTTCACGGGACAGGGCCGGGATTGTCGGATATATTATATAGTTGAGTGGGTTTTAATGGCATTTTTTGGTGATATATATTCTCTCTCGATTGCCCTGTGTTATGTTAATGCTTGGCAATTTGCCATAAGGAAGGTGAGTAGCCTTACACATTCCAAATCTCCAGGACACCTTTGATTCTGGGATAAAAACGGCTTTTCTCTGGAAGGAACTTCCAGCGTTGGTCAGTCGATTAGTTGCTGAGATTTATGAGTCCTGGAGAACCATGTTAGTCATAGCATCCATATCTTGGAGCTGAAGGGGTGTGTCCATGACTCAATTGTGAGAATATGAGCGCGGCGACGTACAGTCTTTCTCGCTGTGGATGCTGGGAGCATGTCAGGGGGCTAGGTTTGGCGCGGCGCCGGCACGTTTTCCACTGATTCTTGTAGCTTCCCCTCCTTTGAGAACTGGAGGAAAACGGGCTGGGCAGTGCCAAACTCAGCTTCCCCCTAACATGTCCCAGCATCCGCAGCGAACAAGGCTATAGACCGTTGTTGGCGAAGAGGCAGACATTGTGTGACGGCGAGAGTGCGCAGACGGCCTCTCAAAGCACTGATGCAGGTCTCATCCCTCCCTCTCTGACATGGGCATTGTCTAACGCCGAAATGCTCGCAACCAAGTCTGTAGACCCTTCCTTCTAGCACCGACCTATGGAATGCAATGGTATTCGCTACCTCGGAACTGGTCTGCGTCAGTTGAATGTATTCCCGCGTGAGAAAGTGATAGAAGGGTCGGTGGTTAGAGAGTAGGTAGGCAAAAATTGGCCTGTGAGCTGTGTGAGTAAGCTCATGACCCTCCCACTGAGTGGGTCCAAGTCTCATCTTCCATCATATGGTTCTGAGTAGCCTATCTGGTGGAAATGATTAGTGCTGCACGGAGGTCCATAGACTGCAGATTATTTTGAACTTCTGAGCTTCATCCATAGCTTTTCTAGCAGTTTCTTTCATTGTGCAACAGCATGCATACGAGCAGCTATAATAAATCCTTTATAGCTGGCTTTGTGCAAGCATTTCCTTTCCCTTTTTCCGAGCAGACAATGAATTATTGCCGCCTCTATTCCAGCTACTCCAGTCGTCGCCCATGACTTCTCCAACGTTTGCAAGCACGACGTTGACGCTGGCGAGTGTAATGGCGTATTCCAGGTACGGAATCATTCATCGAAAAGCTCTTCTTCATTTCAACCCCTACTTTGCAGCGCTTCGCCTTCGATACTGAGTCCGGCGAATGCCGTCCGTTTTCTTACGGTGGTTGTGGAGGCAACGGAAACAACTTCGCCACACTTGCAGAGTGCCGTATTAAATGCCAAAAAGGTATTTTTGCTCAAATGACTTTTCGTTACTATTCTCCGTTACTCATACTCTTGACCGAGTCTGAACGGTGACGCAATGCAGACTGACCATACGCTACGGCAAGATTCTACCATGTTGCGCAGACGAACGTCGCTTTGGGATGCGGCCCAGCGGCAGAGGACGGAGGGAATCCTTTATTTCGGGTGGAATCCAATATGAAGATATTTTTTTCCAGTTTTCATTGTTTAGCTTGGTTTTCCTTTTCCCCGCCACTTTTTTTTTTTCCCAAGAGAAACCAAGAGGATATAGGGGGGCGGGGGGTCGGTTTACTGCGTCGTTGGAGAGGGGTGGGTCGTAATTGGTCCAATTGAGTAGTAAATTTGGCGGGTTGGTAAATTTCCCGCTGTTGATTTTCGCGCTTTTCCGTTTCTCAGTTTCTATACTTCCCGCCTCCTTACTTGCCCTCAACGAAGAGAGGTGGAGAGAGAGGTCTGAGAATACTCTCTTGGGAAGTTTCTGGAAAAGAATCTGGGGAAATATGTGTGAGCTTCAGGGAATAATTCTATGGAAGTGGTAAGTAGCATGGAGAGTGGATTGATGCCGTGATCCAAAAGGAGTTAAAAGGAGGCATTGTTTAGGCGATGTTCGTATTTTCCCTCGGTAATCGCCTGAAATCAGAGTGTGTGCGGGGTTTTTGATTCAGTTTAGCGGGGGAACTGTACTCCTAGGTTATGTACTAGAAAGTGTCTCTTCACCTTTGTCAATACATTGGCGAGTTTCGAAATGAGTTCAATCGCTAAGAACCGCTGTAATCCTTAACTCGATCATGCTCAGAAAGAGCTTTTTCCGTCCTAGCAAACGTGCAATGATTGGCACTGGACCACGGTCGGTCGCAGTCGCACGATTTCTTAATCTTGCGACTGAATCCTTCGAGTTACGAGGTATGAACGAGACCGTACACAGCTCTAGGAACCACCACATTGGCTAGATGTCAAGGCCAAAACGCCTGTATTAGTGCTACCATGAAACGGACAGTGACTTTACACATTCTTGGTCGGAAAGCCTTGAATGGAGGAACGAAACCCTCAAGACATTAGCTGAATGTAAATTGTCCTTTCAAAATAAATCTGCTAACTTTCAGTTGCTCTGTCCCCTGGCAACCTCTGCGAACACGACATCGAAGTTGGAGAGTGCAGTGGAGTTTTTGTGCGATTTGGTTATGATAAGTCGACGAACGATTGTCGTCAATTCACCTATGGAGGATGCGGAGGTACGCATAACCCGATGTTCCCCGAGGATATACCTCAATGACTTGACCCGGATTGTATCATTGCAGGTAACGGCAACAACTTTGCCACAATCCAAGAATGCCGAAATGTGTGCGTAAAGAAAGTGTGCAATCCGAATCCGCAGTGCGACTTGACTCGTTGCCAAATTGTCAACGATCGTAACGGATGCCCCTTCTGCAGCTGTCCACCTACAAATCAGCCAATGCCACCAGGTACGCTTTCTTCAAGTTATTTTGCACTCTGGTAGAGCGGCGTAGTTGAGCTTATTCTACATTTTCCTAGTTTCCCTTTTTAGTTTATAGCCCCTTCTCTCCAGTATAACATACTTAACATACAACAAGGGCACCCATCATTGTGAAGCGGGGAGGGGTCGTAGTTGTCTTTTAGAGGGATTTGCGGCCACTGGTGTTATATACCACCCCACCCCTCCCTTTCCTCTTCTCCTCCCGCTCGACAGCAAATTTTTGAGGAAAAACCAGAAGTTTTCAGGGAAATGCCCCAAAAACTCCTAGGAAGTTGGAGAAAATCTACGAAAAGAGGTGCAGGATGGGGGGGGAGGTCGCATTTTTCAGGAATTTATCACAAAGCGATGGCGTACCTTGTTTGTAACCAACAATTATCCGATCCAAGCCTTACCGCGATGCAGTTGGTCGTGCAATAATGCTGATTTCGTACTTTCGTAGGTTGATATCACTGCATATGCGCAACAAACTTTCGAACGATTCCAATATCATAACCTGTAGTCAGCTTTTGCTCGGCATTTTGACGCTTTCTAACTTCTGCTTCTCGGATCTAACTCTTATGAAAACCATAGCTTCTTCTGAAGTACTGTGATTGCCTTATACTTGAGCTAAGGGAGATCATTGGTGAACTTCACGGAAACTGGGTTGTGGCATTAATCAAAATAGATTTGTCGGAGACATGACTTGCAAAGTGTATTTTTGTTTTCTGGTTGCTAAATAGATCCCCATGCAGACGAAGGGCAGAAGATGTCATCAGAAACGCTCCAAATAAGTTCGCATGTTACGATCGAATAGACCTACACGAGACCACTTTCGACCACTCTTTGTACGATTAGAAACAAAGAAAACCAAATGAATGGAAAGAGCAAACACTCCAAAAAACCGATGATCCTGCCTCAGCTTGGACGAACCGTCTCGAGGCATTTTGTGATGAGCCAACGTTATGTAGCGTTTTTCATTGACCAGTTTACTGTTATGTTTATCAGAAGTGGAAGCTAGCCCGCAAAACCGTTAGCCCTATTCTCGAACCTGCCATTACTACTTGGTGTACCTGTCCTGTAGTTTCTAGTAACAAAGGTAGTGCACCCTGCGACTGACAAAAGTTAAAATTCCCACAAAACAAGACTCTCAAGAAGTCCTATGACACCGCCGAAACCAGGAACGCATAGAACAACTGATAAATCTTTCACAAGTCCATCAGCTAAATAGGACGTAGGCCGCACAATTCTAATGATCTTGCAGAGCCGTGGAAACTTGTGTGGTTGGATGACCTGAACGGGAGACTTGCTACGCCCTAAGAGGGTGCGGACCTTCTCATCTTTCCCATGGAAAGGATCACTGTAGTCAGAAAATGTACTTTTACAAAAACCCTACTACTCCTCTGGAGACGAGTCTCAGTATTTCAGTTTGGTATCTTTTGGAATCCTGGTTGAAAGCAGAAGCAGTTTTCACATAGCAATATTTACTGTTGCCATGTGAAAGCCGCTTCTGCTAAAGTGAGGAGAAATGTTCCCATTTTCTCTTAAATGACGATTACTTCGAAGCGCTCTTCATTCAGAATAGAAGGATGGATGAGCGGAAAATTGCACCAGCAGGATTCGGCGAATGCAATCCTGGTTTCATGATACAAACACAAAAAAAGCAACAGGGCGCAGTTTGGCGACGGGGGGGGCATTTTGCACTTTTGCTACTTCCCATCGACGTGGACCCATGTAGAAAGCCTTTTCGTGAGTTGACAGGTTTCATCATTGCGGCTCGATGAGTTTGCTCCACTCACAGGAGTTCACAGATTTCATCAGGTAAAGTATGCAAACCGGAGCTAATTGAGCAATAAAAGTTTAAAATGTCCCCACGTCGCCGGATTGCGCCGAGCAACGGTTAAGATGAGAGAATGACTTTGTGATTCCTCCCCTCTCTTCGCTGCCCATAAATGCATCTATTTCTGGTTCCCATGGCTCTCCCTCTGAATTCTGGGTCTACTCCTCATCTATCTCCATCATGTCCTTTCCAGCGATACTGAATTCTCAACGCAACTGCTTCATATTCAGGTGCTGCTCAATGTCCAGATCTTGATGTGGGCAAGTGCAGAGAACCATGCATTGTCATCAACAATAGAAAAGGTTGCAAGGTATGAAACTGTGCAATTATTGCTATTCGGGCCCTTGGGTTTCGAAACCGGCTACTGACCACATATTTCACACCTAAGCTCAACATTTTAGGATTGTGTATGTCCCTCGATGTCGAGCCCTATTAACCACGCTCCGGCATCATTAGATGAGCAACCGGCACCACCTGCGCCGTCGACATCCCGTCCTCCTACACAGACGTCTCGCCCTGTACACGGTTCCGTTCATCCACCGGCAGCACCCGCCAATGTTGGGCCTCCTTCTGGACCGATAGCTAGCCGTGCTTCACCGCCAGGCACCAACAGTGCTCACATTCCTAGACGTCAAGGTTAATCATTTACATAAAGAATTTTTTCTTTCAGTGCGGGATCGCCATAATTTCGCGGAATCCTGCTGTTTTACCCTCGATTTTCGAAATTTTGGCTTTTTTGAGATCACAGGAAAACCTCAAGTTTGTTGAATATTTCAGAAGCCGTTGCCACAGCTCAATCCACGCAAGCTAAGCAGGTAGAGATCGATTCGAAGCAGTTGCTGCCGCCACCACTGTCAGCCCAGCTACACGAAAAATGCACGCAACCAGTGGTCAGTTTCATCAGTGCAGTAAAAGAGAAGACTTAGTATAGTCGGACATCCAGTCACCCAGTCATCTATAGCAACACATTCAGTCACTCAGTGTCACTTCTGTTACGGGAGATGGTCAAGAAAATCGTAATCTGCCGCTCACCCGCACATGGCGATTAGCGTGATTGTTTCCTGTTCTGTATTAGCCTTGGAGCGCTGGGTTAACGTAGACATCGGCAGATATTTGATGAATATTTTTGTTTATACATTGTCCATTGTCAGAACTAGAGACATTGACATTTACGAGTGCGACGTCGCACGCGGCGCCCAGCGGAGCGGCAAGTTACGATTGTCTTGCCACGTTGCCTTCCTTCCGTGCAAATCCATGAGGCAGGTGCCAGAGCAACTTCTTCATTCGGCCCTTTCTCTAGCCGCAATCCTATAGGGCTTCCTAGGCCGAGGAACGCGTAACAGTTCAGTCTTTTCGGGTCCTGAGTGATTCAGTCGGTAACTGCCGTGGTCCACAGTGCTTATCTTTGGTTGGGGATTTGAGTCGAGTCCCGTGCTACCCATCCATTTCAGTCGAGTCCATACGACCCCCTCCCATTATAGGGTGTTAGTACGACCCCCTGGTTCCTCTTTATCGAACTGTCGAGGTCGAGCGGGGGGATAGCACGTGCGAGAAACGGGAACCGCGAGGAAAATACGACCCCCTTATAATCCTTACATCCGTCAAACAAGAAAAATCAACTATCGAAAAATTTTTTCCTCAGCCCGAATACACCCCCCCTTCCTCTCCCAGCGAACAAATACGACCCCCTCCTCCTGTTGGGGAATACCCAAGAACGATGTGCCCTGGTGGTCTTGCTGTCTTAATCAAACCACATTTTTCCATTTTTCTTCCCCACTTGATCTTCGATTCCGTGGGGAAACGGGAAAAACAGCGAAAAGACGACCCCCTCCCAACAACGAGCAAATACGACCTCCTGACCCCCCCTTGTTAGGGAATCCCCAACAACGATGTGCCCTGGTGTTCTAGCTGTCATCATCAAACCACATTTTCCATCCAAACTTGGTCTTCGATTCCTTGGCAAATGTGGCATGATGTCTGATCTTTGACGGATAACGATATTCGGAACATAGGATGGAACATGAGACAGAACTTTTGCACTTTGCACTGGATTTCGAAATATGTTTACTCAATTCATCATCCTCTCCAAAATGCCATGGACAAGGAGATAGGGGGGGGGGCGTTTTTAGCTGTAGGAGGCCCAGTTTGAGGTGGGCAACGTGAACGTTGTTTAGGGAGTTTCATGGAATTAATGTGACCTTTCTTACGTTAAACTGTGATAAAGGCAGTTGGGACCATACTTTGGTACTCGGCCTAAAATTCTACCAGGGCGCTTCACAGTGGGAAAATGGCGAACAAA